CTGCATCTGAAAGATTGCTTATCTCCACTCTGTTTAGTTCTTTTTCTGGAGTTTTGTTCTGTTCTTTCATTTGGGCCATGTCTCTTTGTCTCCTCATTTTGGCAGCCTCCCTGTGGGGTTTTTTTTGTTTTTTTGTTTTTTGTTTTGCTTTGATTTCCTGTCTTAGGAGTGTGGCTTATTATAGAAAAGTGCACCTGCAAGTTGGATGGGGCAGAGCCTTAGGTAATTTCCAAAGTAGGCAACCATGTGAACCAGATTGATGGACTCTCAGATGTGGTGTCATGCTCTGTGGCTCTGTGTGGTTACAGGCTCAGAAAAGGGATGGTGGCTGCTGCCTAACCTTTGTTTTGTCCTGAAGAAAGCTGTCCCCTGGCACTCACCCTGATGCCAGATTATTCTGTTTCTTCCTGTATGCCACTGGTGCCCTTCTTTGTTGCTGCCTTGGCACTGGAGTGCAGAGCAAGTGAGCCTGCGTAATTTCTAATATGGTCGTGGGCCCTTTAAGAAGAGACACCTGAGATTCTCAGATTCTTCTGCCCCGCTAACCCCTACTGGCTTTAATAGTCAAAAGTTATGGGGACTTATCTTCCTGGTTCTGGAAGCCTGGGCTTGGTGGCCTGGTATGTGGGGGATCCCTCGCTCCTGAGATATCCCTCAGGATTTTTATCCACCACAGGTGGGTGTGGGACCACCCGTTCCGCATCTTCACCTCTCTCCCTCCTACCCTTCTTGAATATTGTGCCTTCTTTAATTCTTTGGTTGTCTGACTTCCATACAGCTTGATTTTCTGATGACTCTGGGTGATAGTTGTTTCGTAATTTAGTTTTAACTTTTGCTGTGGTTGTGTGAAGAGGTGAGCTATGTTTACTTATGCCTCTGTCTTGACTAGATGAAGTTAGACTGTTTTTGAGCTTTTTCTTGTTTCTTTGGATAGGCTTTTAATGTCCCTCTTAGGATTGTTTTCCCTGTGTCACAGAGATTTTAGATTGTTGTGTTCTCACTTTCATTTGTTTCAAGATTTCTTCCTTGATCTCATTGTTGACCCATTTCATTGTTTAATAACATGTTATTTAGCTTACATCCTTGTGTATTTTTCAGTGTTCTTGTGATCGATTTCTAGTTTCTTAGCATTGTGGTGAGAGAAGATGCTTGATATGATTTCAATCTTCTTAAATTTATTGAGATTTTTTTTGGTGTCCTAACGTGTAGTCTATTGTAGAAAACATGGCATGTGCACTTAAAAAAGTATGTATATTCTGCTGCTTTGGGGTGAAATGGTCTGAAAATATCAATTAAATCCATCTGATTTAGTGTGTCATTTAAGGCCACTATCTCCTTGTTGATTTTCTGTCTGGAAGATCTATCCATTGAAGCAATTTGGTGTTAAAATCCCCTACTATGGCTGTGTTTCTCTTATTTCTCCTCTTATGTCCATCAAGATTTGCTTTACATATTTAGGTGCTCCTGTGTTGGGTGCACAAATATTTACTAGAGTAATATCCTCTTGTTGTATTGTTCCCTTTATTATTATGTAGTATCATTCTATGTCTCTTACTATAGCCTTGGTTTTAAAGTCTATTGTGTCGGATATAAGTACTGATACCCCAGCTTTGTTTTCTTTCCCACTTGCATGAAATATCTTTTCCCATCCCTTTACTTTTAGCTTGTGTGTATCTTTTGATCTGAGGTGGGTCTCTTGGACCCAGCACATATATGTGTCTTGTTTCCTTATCCATTCAGCTACCTTCTGTTTTTTTTGTTTGGATCATTTAAGCCATTTACATTTAAGGTGATTATTGATGGACATGTATTTATTGCCATTTTATTTTTAAACTATTTTTCTCTTCTTCTTCAAGCGAGTCCTTTAATATTTGTTCCAGTAGTGGTTTCATATTAACAAAGCTCTTTAGTTTTTTTATTTGGGAAGCTTTGTTTCTCCTTCAATTTCAAATGATAGCCTTGCTGGATAAAGCAGCCTTGGTTTGTCGGTCCTTGCTTTTCATCACCTTTAACATTTCATGCCAACTGAATGATGAATGTCATCAGAAATCAGATGACATTCTAACTGGTGCTCCCTTGTATGTAACTGCTTTTCTCTTGTGGCTTTTAGGATTCTCTTCTTGTCTTTAAGTTTTGCCATTTTAATTATGATGTCTTGGTGTAGGCCTGTGTGGGATTCTCTGCATTTCCTGGATTTGTATGTTCCCCTCCCCACTCCCCCCAGTAGACTAGGGAAGTTTTCAGTCATTATTTCTTCAAATAGGTTCTCGACCCCCTTGCTCATTCTCTTTGGCTGGTATTCCCATGATGCTAATGTTGTTATATTTCATGTTGTCCCAAAGGTTGTTTAAGCTCTCTCCATTCTTTTAAATTTTTTCCTTTTTGTTGTTCTGCTTGGGAATTTTGTCTTATCTTCTAAATCACTGATTCAGTCCCTTGCTTCATCTAACCTACTGTTTATTCATCCCAGTGTATTATTTACTTCAGATATTGTTTTTATTTCTGACTAGTTCTTTTTATTGTTTCTGATGTCTTTTTTCATGCTATTGAATATCCTATAATCATTACTCTAAACTCTATATCTAATACATTGCTTTCCATTTTTTTAGGTTATTCTGGCGTATTCTCTTATTCTTTCATTTGGGGCCTGTTTCTTCATCTTTCCATTTTGGTTGCTTTTTGTTTGTTTCTATGTATTAGGTAGATCTGCAAAGACTCTGGTGCAGACCTATGTCAGATGCTGTGACTGGCCCTGGGCAACCTGTTTGGAGCTATCAGCAATCCATGACATGTAGCTCTCTCTGCTGTGACTGTTTGTGTGCAGAAAGAACCAGGTTGTGCACCAAGGCTGGCTTTTACTAGCAAGTAGCTCAGGAGAGGGCCAGCTAAAGTCTCAAAACTTCTAGGTATCTGCCATAGTTGTTAAACTTAATCACTGAGATAACCTCTATCTGTAGTCCTTAGCGGCCCTGTTTAAGCTCCACAGGGTACAAGAAAGTAATTCCTGTGGGCAGGGCTTTTGCTTTTCCTCAGGCTGATGCTACTTGGAGGGGGGTGCTCCGCCTGAGAAAGATGGCCTCTTGCAGTACTGGGAATGACTCAGCTCAGGGATCCTGGTGGGTGTTCCTTCAGTTCTCTCCCTAGTGCCACCATTCCCAGACTCTCTTCATGTGTCTCTAGTCCATTCTGCCCTCTTTCTACAGGAGTCCAGAGTAAGAGGCTTCAAATGGAATTTTGTATGTTGGTCCCCTGATAGTCTCCAGCTGTCAATCCCTGGTGGACAGAAACCCCGCTACTTTTCATAGCTGGAGGTTAGCTGGGTTCCATTCCTGACACTGGTGCTATAGGCTGGGGAGCCCAGGTTGGTGTCTGGACCCCAAACTTCTCAGGAGGAACCTTCCAGCCACTGAAATATCCCTCCAGAACTTAAGCTGCCACCTATGGCAGCCCCACCATCCCTCTTGCTCCTCCTTCAAATTTCCTACCAGTCTTGTTGTGATGAACTGGTTTCTTCTGTCTGTCTTGGTTATATGGCTCTCCAGCTAGTGTTCAGTTGGTTATTCAGGATGATTTCTCTACTATTTAGTTGCTTTTCCAGTTTAATCTTGGGAGGAGGTTTGTGCAGCTTCCACCTACTCCTCCACCATCTTGGATCTCCAGACATCTTTTCTGAAACTACTTGACAATGTAGTTACCTTTCAAATATAGGAAATAACCTGGCAACTTTGAACCCTTCCGCTAACATATCCCTTAAAAAAGTAGGTGAAATTAATACTTTTTCAGACAAACTAAAGCTGAGATAATTCACTGCCAATAGAATTGTACTATAAAATATACTGAAGGAGTACTTCAGGTAAAAGGAAAATAATTATCAGGTGATAAGCTGGATCCTCACCAAACTATGAAGAACACCAGAAATATGTTCCCCCCCAAAATACCTTCCAATTTAAAAAATCTCACAGGGTGTCCAATCTGTGGCCCACGGGCCCCATATCTCCCAGGGTGGCTATGAATGCAGCCCAACACAAAATAGTAAATTTACTTACTACATTATGAGGTTTTTTTGTGATTAGGTGTCACAACGTATTTAAAATGTATCCCAGGACAACTTTTCTTCTTCCAGTGTGGCTCAGAGATGCTAAAAGGTTGGACACCCCTGTGATAATTAACCATTTAACAAAAATAAAAATGTATTGTGGAGCTTATAACATATGTAGAAGTTAAATATATGACAACAATAATACAAAAGATGAGAAGGGGAAGTGAAAATATACTATTATGAAGTTTGTACAACATACATGAAGTTGTGGAATATTAAGTAAAGGTAGACTGCGATACTACAAGTGAGGTAAAAAAGTTTTGTTCTCCATAGTAAATGTTTATGTACAATTTTTGCATGCTATGTTTCAGGCTTCAGTGCCTTTGCACATGCTGTTTCCTAAGTCAGGAATGCCATCTCCTCTTGTTTACCAGATGAATGTCTACCCTTCCCTCTTTAAGTTTCTAAAACTTTTAACCCTGTTTCTCTGGTTTCTTTTAATTACTCACTTAATTCTCCCTGTTCCTAGAGAACTTCATAAATACTTCATTGAGCACATATTTCATTTTATTATAAATCGTATTATATAAATAATATATGCCTGTTAGTGTCCTACTCAAAGGTAGGACATGTCTTTTTTATTTCTTTCTACAAATTCCAAGTAACTAGCATGGTGCTCATGCTTTATGTGGAAAGCATTCCTTTAAACAGTCCTTGAAGAGTTTTATACCAAAACTTCTCTTATTCCTGCTTCTGCCTATTTGAGAATACTGTAAGTCACTTGCAAAATCTTTTCTCACCTCTACCTTGGTGAAAGTCATAAGAAAGAGAAGTAGCCTGGCAAGCATTTGTACTTGGGCAAGGATCTTTTTACTATTTTTTTAATCTTCAAGGTTATATACTATTTAGTTATTTTAATATTTTTACATTACTAAAATTAAAATGCACAAGTAAAGCTTACTTCTGCCATTAATTCTAATGGGGCATGAGTATCAATATTTGGGCTACTGTCTTCATTATCTTCATCATCGGTGTCATCTTCACTATCATCATCATCTGTTGATTCAGACAACTTATCTATATCCTGAAAGCAATATTCATTATTTTTCTCATGCTTTGCAATGACTTCATCTTTGCCCACTTCACCTAAAACAAAGTACATAATTAATCAATAAATGTTAACAAGTTCAAAAATTTTAACTCGTTACTCCTAGTTCATAATGTAACTAGTGTACATGTTTCCTATATGGCTTCCTGTTTTCGCATTTTGTTTTCTTTTTTCATGACTAAACAGCACTGATTTCCATTTTCATAAAAGGTAACAAAACTGTCAGGGGAAAGAGGAAACAACCCAAACTAGTAACACTGAGCTGACGTTAATGTTGTGTGGTGCTTGAAATTTTAATAAATGGAAAAGTCTTATTTATAATTTCAAGAAAAAAAGAAATTAATGCTATTCTTTCTCCAGAAATATATTCCCTAAATTGTTTTTATAGGGGGTAAATACAAAATAAAGAGCTTGGAGAGCAAAAGACTGGAGAGGCTGAGAAGCAAATAATCTTAGGTCATGTTACTCTTGGATACTTGAGAATAAAGTTCGTTCTCTTTTTCCCTCTCCCCACACACACAAAGTAAGAAGAAATACATGTGGCATATTTTAAATATAACATTATTAATGATTTTCCTTAATGTCGAGTCATAGCACCTATGATTAAATGTAGATGACTGAAAAAGAAAAGTTAAGCAATGCTGCTGACTATCCATTCAGTGCCTAGCACTAGGTTGAGTCCCAGGAACACAAAAATGAATAGTCTTTGATCTCAGAGCACTTGCAAAAACTCTTCAATGAGGATCCATAAACATAATGGAGCATTATAAAACAGTATGGAAAAACAGTGATGAAGATGTATACTAGGTAAATAGGAGAGCAAGGAGGTCAGCATCCCATTCTGGGGAGTGATCAGGAACTGTCCAGTCTGAATGGATCAGTTCATCCAGGGAGAGGGTACAGTATGAGCCAATGTAGAAGCAAGAATATGTGTTGACTATAGCACTTTGGTGCTGCTTTAAAGTCAAGGTTGAAGCTGAAATAGTGACAGATGAGGCTTGAAGTGTAGGTAGGAGCTAGCTGAATAATAGAGTCTTGTGGGCCAGAAGCCTTGGGGTTTATCTTAAGAATGAAGGGGCTACTAATGCAAAATTTTATTTAAGAAAACAAGTATGATCAATTTTGCATTGCTGGAGAAAAACCTGGATAGTAGGGTGAAAAGTGTATTTGAGGGGAGATGAAAAAATAAAGAGTAAGGGGAAAGATTAAAGTGCTCTTTTATACACCCAGATGAGAGAGATGATAGGGCACTGGTAAAGCAGGAATACAAAGGAAGCAACAGAGAAATTTTTAAGAGGTTTCGTCTCCATGATACTATTAGAACATTTTCCAAACTTTAGTAATTCTTATACCATCTTCATCCATTTTGCCATATATGAGTATTACCTATACTAATTACTTAATATTTTTCTTTAGATCTCCTTTTGTAACTCATAACTTTTGTCAGATAATACTATCCTCCATGGATGTATTAATAAAGTAACATATAATCATAACACATTAAATGCCATTACTCTCTGAACACTATATATATATAAACACTATATATAAACACTATATATATATAAAAATCCACTTAATTATCTCAACATCCCAACAAGGTGTGTTTTGCTTTTATCCCATTCATAGAAGAAACGGAGGGACCGAGAGGTTATAACCTGCCCAACTTCATACTGCTAATTAGGTGGTAGATCTGGGAGTCAGTTTGGCTCCAGAGTCCATATTCTTAACCACCTTATATTATTTTTTTCGACATTATCAAAATATACTACTATTAAAGTAATTCTTAAAAAAGCTTACTATATGTTTCCTAAACTTCTCTCTTTGGGAAGCACTACTGAATGAATTTATAGGACTCCTTTGGCTCTCTGGTTATCTCTTACAGTTTCAAACTAACTTATGCTACACCATCCCTCTCTTGTGAGATTTTGAGTATCTGGGAAGTCTTGTGAGATGGCTTCTTTGATGAGAGTATGGCCAGGAGTTACTCTAAATAATGTAGAAATATCTGTGTTAGAAGAAAATGAGCAAATGCAAGAGAGCTCTAGAGAACACAATGTTAAGAGAACACAGACCAAAAAAGGAAAAAAGAAAAGATAAAACTCTTAACCCTAAAGCAAATTATGACTGTAAAAAAAAGTGCTACCCTGAAAAGGGGTTACCAAGTCCTTTCCAGAGTAGGATGGCTGGGCTCTGTGAGCCATCTACCTGCTTCTGTTTCCTTTACAGTCTCCATCAGCTCACAGCTGTTCACTCTAATCTTCAGTGTGTACCCAGCTTGCTCACTGACTCATCACATTGACATCACCAGTGAAAGGGCTGTATGTGATGTCACAGAAACTCAGTTAATTCACAAACACGGAGCTTCATGAGAGAGATTTCCTGTTCCTTAGAGCTAAGGCAGTCCTCTCCCAGGTGCCGCTTATTAACATTATAATGCCCATTACAACCTACATTGTATTGCTTTTTTGTTTGTTTGATTGACTGATTGATTGATTGGCTATAGTTGGTTGTCTATCTCCCACGAGAATGTGAACATCATAAGGGTAAGGACCTTGCCTATTTTCTAACTATAGTATCCAGTGCCTGGCACTCAGTGAACCGCTGTTGAATGAATGGAGCTTGGTAACTCTTTCACTGGGTATTAAATTCTAAAATTTAATGCTTTATTATTATCATTTCATGTAATGTTCTTCCATGGGCCATACACCTGACTGCATATCAGAATCATCTGTTCATGAATTGGAAAAAGTACTGATTCCCATGACCCTCTCCAGGCCTACAGAGTTGTCAACAACCCCAAAGGTCCTGGTAAAAGAGGGCTGAATTAGAAGCAACAGTTACACAAACAACAAACAAACAAACAAAACCAGGAGTTATTACCTGTGCTTTCTTTTAAGAAGGAAGATGACCATAGTTTAGACTGTAGATTTGTTTCTGTGTCTTTATTTTCAATACTCTTTGAAGACACTCTATTTTCAGTATTCTTTAAAGAAACCTTATTTTCAACATTCTTTGAGACTTCCTTCCTAAATGTTAAAGTTGATAGTCAGAAAATACCTTCCTAGGTCAAAATTCTGTTTAAGGCTTCTATAAGTAAACACACATTTAATACAAACACACAGTATGATGTACCAACAATAAACTAAACAGCTAAAAATGCAGTATGTTTTTTGTGGCAAAACATTAAAAATAATTTTTACTGGTAATTAAAATTAAATTTCTGCCTGGCATTTGTCATTATATAATGATCCTTAGAATCTTTTCAGAGTTCTTTAACACAGAGCATAAAAGCAATCGGTTCTCTGACACATCATTGTGATATTTGTAACAGAATAAAAGTATTTAAGGAATACTGGCCTTTTTTTTTTTTTAAGTTTGTAAATCAAATCGTACTATGGTTAAATGCTACACTTATGGAGGGAATGCAACACTAATAATCAACCTTTGGTCTATTGACTTCCATTTGCCAAAGTGATGTTATTTATGGTAATAACCCCTCTAGCCATTTTAAAAAATAGATAACGAGTATACTCTAAAAAATCTGCTATTTAAATACAGTTACTATTAAAGAAAGATTCAATTTTTTTACTTTATGTAATATCCTTTGTAAATCAAAAGTATTTAATTTAGTATCTGCTAAGGTTAGAGAGTTAGTCAAGTTGCATATCTCACTGCAACATATTTATGCTAGAGGGTAAATCACCTAGATTTTAGGATTGTTCCTTAGTTAAGAGCACTGGGCATATTTATGAAATGTCCCAAATTTCTACTGGAATTAAACAAGTTTTTCAGGAAGTTTGTATTTTAAACTGTTTTAAACAGATTTATAAATTTGTCAAACATCGGCCTAAAAATTAATTAAAATTTACTTTTCCAAGAATGTGTTAGCTCTACTTAGAGAAACTTGTGTTGCTGATATATAAATTTGCTGGCCAATCTTGGTCTTAGTCCAAAGAGGCATTTACTTAAAGTGTAAAAATGAGAATAAAGAAATAACTTGTCATTCATTTTAGAAAAGATAACACATATAATTATGGAATAATATATAAATATAAATTTTTCAGCCTCAGAGTATTGAGTCTGTGGGTCTGCTTCAGCCATTTCCCCCTTACATCTTTAAGTTTGCTCAAAAGCTTGACCAAAAAACCCAAAAGACCAAATGACCAAGATCTATAGAATTTTGTCCAGCATTAAAGATACATTTTACCTTTACTACTGAAAAGTTTATTAATTAAGTGCAATTTGTTGGGTGGACAAAATCTTTCATACATGGATCTATGGGGAAAAGGAAATGATAAATATGAGTTTTGCGTGTATAGAAGTGTGAAACTCATGGTTTATAAAATCCTTGTGTCTCAGACTAGAATGAAGAATTAATCAGAAGTTTAAGGCAAAGAATTAGTGGAGAAAGAAAACTTCTAGTTTTCCCCTAACCCAGGCTTAATAGGACCTTTTGGCAAATTATACTTCCAGTCAGACTATGGAGCCTAAAAGGGAGTAGAAAGTGTAATCTGAAGCTACACTGAGAAAAGTGATCAACTTTCACACCAGTCACACTAGTCCCCAAACAAAGGTCCCCCACGAATTTCTTTTTTTTTCCTTGATCATTTTTTTCCAGGACTGGCCCTATTTGCTTTCAACTATGGGTAAGGTACCTGAGGTAATAATACCATACAATGGTGAAGCTTATTGGCTACACTAACTATCCACTTCAAACAACCAAACCAAACCCAAACTCTTCTCTGTAAGCAAATTAAAAGGAACATGATCATTTTACCCTTTCAAAAAGCAGTTTCATAAGAAGATGCGATTATTAATGAGATAAGGAGAAAAAGTAGGCACTCCACTTTTCTGTTTTGGCCCACGCTGCCCTTGATTTATCCCTTGATATAACTAACTCAGGATGTGGATCATCCCTTGCTCCAATTCCAACACTGCTTTTCACAGCATTGGAACACTGGGGCTCATAGTAGACAAAATAATTTATTTTCATTAATGGCTTACTAACTTCTGTTACTATTATTGAAAGTTATATTTCCTTCAAAGACTACTAAAACTATCTTAGATTTTTAAATTTAAATGTTTTCCACCATGTAATAGGATACACACACACACACACACCTCTCTCTCAACAGAACATTTATTTTTTTCTGGTTGTATATAATATTTAATTTGAAATAAATAAATTCTCATCATTGATCTGTTATATATTACTCTCCCTTTAATATATAAATATGTATTTAATATATAATTTACAACAAAGCCAATGTGGATTCTAATTTTAATTTTTGGGTTTGACAGTATAAAATTAAAATACAGGGTCTGGCACAATATAATGCCCCTTTTTAATTATAAAATCTTTTATTACAAAATCATAAGCATGTAATTCTGTAACATAACAATAGCACACTCAAGCATATCATATGACATTCCAGGTGAAATATTCAAATTAAAACTATAAATTATTATACCCATATTATTACCCTACCAACCTCACTCAAACAGGCATTACTTCTGCTGGACCCTATATATGCTGCATTAGGTGAAAATTTTCCTACCCAATAATACTCACACTAAGCTAAAATTGTATTAATTTGACTAGAATTCCACCAAAAGGGTACTTACCAACCTGTCAATAATTAATCTCTATGAATGCATTTTATGATCAACTTTCAAAATGTAATTTTTCATGGTAGAAATGATAGAATTTTTTTTCAGGTAGCAGGAGATGATCAAATCAGTAAGGGCTTTGATGAATCACCATAATCAGTGCCTTGATCAAAGCAGGTACTTAATATTTACCTATTAAATTTAAACAGAACTATGATTCTTTTTTAACACTAATCTCTTCAACTATTTGGGGTGATTATGAATTTTCCTTATTTAGTAGTGACAAATCATCACACAGTAAATAAAGAATCTGTTCATAAATATTCATTTAAAGAGATATTCTGAAAGAAATGAGGAAGTATCAAAGGGAAATAAAAATGAGCAATGAAATTTTTTTAAGTAAAATACAGAACATTTGGTGTTTAAGCATTTAAAAGTAAAAGTCAATGTTATCCATATCTCTACATTTTTATTAAAATTTATTTTTCATTTAAAATGTCTCTTTATCTAGTAACAATTGCTTTGACTGAAGCAAAAGCTAAAGTGCTAATCCATGCATTTCTGGCCTTTCAAATTTAATTGAGTGGCAAATGATTGCATTATCTAGTTCTAATTGCTCAAAACGCATGTGATAGATCAGCTGCACAACCAGAGACATTTTCTTACTCTGACATTGTTTCATTCGGTTCAATCATCACTTTTTCTGAAAGAGAAGAAAAAAACCCCCTCAGTATTTTATTAACAGTGATGTTCATAACAGAAATTCCTGACTGGAAAATACTTAGGCATTTTTGAATGACAGACAACATAATAAAGGATTTAATTGCTAAGTCTTTCACCCACACTCAGCTATCCCAGTAGACTATCTTCTTAACATTTAGGACAAAATGGCGTTCAAACATATTCTTTTTAAGTAATAAATCATTTACCCTTTGGATCACACACTAGCAATTTGCCATTCTGTGTACATTTTGGTGCCTAAAATAGAAGCAGAAATAAAAACTAGCATTATCATTATTATTTTCATTTGAGGTATCTGAAATAATTTATTCATAGTCTTTATATAAACATTTCTGTTATCTGGTTAAAAGGTAATTTTATCCTAATTATTCAAAAACTATATAAATTGATGGTAAAATAGAACTAAACTGTCCTAAAAAATTTATGTACTCTTACCTCTACAGCATCTGTCTTGTCTAGATAATTTCTGCAAAAACCAAAATATGTACTTCATAAGTCTTTAAATACTTATATAGATTTAGAATATAAATAAAATAGAATGCAGAACCCATTTGGCCAGTAGAGTATTAAGTATGTGCTTTGTTTTTGTATTTGGTAGCATTATTTCCATCCTAACTGAAAAACCTCATTCTTTTGGATTATGTTAAGTTTAACAAAAGTCTAGAGAAATTAACCCCTTCTCCCCATTTTACCTTGCAGTCTATGTAAAATGAACTATAGGAATAATTTTGTATGTTAGAAACGTGATGTATTAAGTTAGCTCCTACCTCTGTTACTATTCTAGTTTTATATAGCTTGGTCTCTAGATCTAGATCCAAATACAATCAACAGCAGGTTAAGGGCTCACCTTACCTACTGAGCTGACCCTAAAAATCATAAATTCATCAGCATGGTTCATGTTTACATCACCTTTTGTTCTTTCCCACTTCAATGAAACAATATTTAAGCCAAACTATATGACACATTCCAGTTCATCCATGTTATGAAAAATGCTTTTATAGAGTGTATGTAAACCAGAATAAGATACAATATTTTTAATAAAATATTATTTCAACCACTACATTTAGAAATTAACCTCCAGATACATTTAAACATATAATTCTTACCTTAAAAATTCCCTTACGTGTTTATTAATACTTATAAGTTAAAATGTTTTCTTTGAGAACTTTTACCTTTCCTAAGCTACCCACCCCCCTGTAGACTGATTTTCCTAAAAGTTAGCCCTTTATATATTTGCATAAACATTATTCTAACTGCAAGGAGAAAAATCAGCTTATACAGATTTTAATGTATGAGAGAGGTCACACTTACACTTTTCATAGGTAACAATTCACTTGTCCCCACATCCCAAGTCAGACTTTTCAAATTATTATTAGTAATACATACCTAGAGATTTCTGGAATACAAAACTTAGGGCCAAATCTGTGGGCAATAAAAGAGAACCTTCATTATTTGGTATTACATTTTTTCTCTTTTTAAATCCAGCTCCCTTATACTGATCTGCCCTCCTGAATAAGCAGTAGTATGTAAACTTTTGCCTCAGGCTTTTTTTCCTGGGCAACCCTAACCAAGCCAGATATTATATAGGTTATTAATTTTTAAAAATATGTTTATTGATTTTTTAGATGGAGGGGAGAGAGAGAAAAACAGAAACATCGATGTGAGAGAGAAACAGATTGGTTGCCTCCCATCAGCACCCCAAGCTGGGACTGAACCCGCAACCTAGGTATGTGTCCTGACTGGTAATCAAACCCCCAGCCCTTTGGTGTATGGGATGACACTCCAACCAACTGAGCCACACTGGCATGGGCTGTATATTATTAACTTGATTATCCCTCTGAGAAGTTAGTTCACAGAGAACTAAAGTCCATCATGAAAGCAAGTCATCTTTTTTTTTGAAAAACAGTTGAAGACTAAACTCAAGAATAAATGATTTTATTCCTAATTCTCTAGTGCAGTAGACAAAGCTCAGAAGCTGAAACAATGCAAAAATGAACCAAATAAGGCGGATGACTTCTCCTGAGAAGTACTTTCACTCCACAGATTTCCACAATCTTGTGTGTTGTCATAAGACTGCCTGGATAGACATCTCTTTATGTTTAGGGCCTTTCTCTTCTTTCCAGCTCTAGGATCTTTATGGTTTGATACAGTCCACCCCTTTACCTGTATAAAACATCAGTGCAAATAATTCTTATTTCACTTTCACCTGGTAATAGAAAAACCTAGGAAGGGAAGATCCTAGCCCGTGATGGAAACACAGGTTCTGCTAGGTCTGACTTTATCACTACCTAGGAAGTGTCCATTTATCCCCTTTCTTAAAATTGAGTTCCTAGGGAGCAGTACAGAGTAACACTCAAGAGTAACACCCAACACTCAAGTTGGGGCTCTTGAGTGACAGAGACTGGCTTCACATTCCAGTAAGCTTGGGTTAGTTATTTAATTTCTCAAGGCCTCAGCTCCTCCAACTGTAAAACAGGGATCACAATGGGGCCAACTTCATTGGATCATTATAAGGATTATATAGGATGATCTGGGTAAAGTGTTTGGCCTAGTGCATGGCACATAGAAAGGGCACTGTAGAAACAATCTGAAAAACTGGGAAGATGTTCAATGGGGCTGATTAAGATTGCTTCGGGAAACAAAAAGGAGGCTTTACTGTGATTGAGGCAAGCAAATTGGCTTTAAAGACTTTTAATGAATTAGTTTAAAAAGTCACACAAGCCCCAAAGTAATGATCCTTGTTTAGAAAGATCATTGACTCCAGGAAAAAAGCAGAGTACTTGAGAACACAGGTAAAGGTAAAGCAGTGGCTGACAGGCTGAGCAGAATGAGGTCGACCTCTGGATAGGGGATATGCGTTTTTTTCAAACACCCATCATTATGCAAAATATCGCTGAAAGGGAATGCTTTCAGAAAAGAAATAACATTGGTTGACTCTGGGGATGGCTGCAGGACTGCGTTGGGAGTACTTTTACTTTACGTGCGTTTGTACCTCTTAAACTTTGAACAAAATTCATGTATTATCTATTTTTAAAAATACAATTTAAAACTAGCAACACTACTTGTATCTCTATGTTTATCCATTTCTTACAGGCATGTGAGCTATATGTTGGCTAGGTGCTGCTTCAACTCTCTTTTCCACCCAGTGGTACCTGTTCAAATTGGGGTCATGGTATCCAGAAAGAACGGTACACAGGTGCACACCTTGTATATTCATTACTATTGGTTATGGTTAATGTTAACATAACAACATTCATTTAGTAAGCACTTTGAGTTTCTAACAAGTGCACTGTCTGGCATTTGGAACATGGGTGGACTCTCCTGACGTCTTTCAACAGTCCCAGGGCTAATGGGAACAACAGTGATGATAGTTCTAAATTTTCAAGTAACATTCAATGTCTATTTGACACAAACATTTGATGAGCATCTGCTACGTATTATATATCTCTGTGATAAGCCCCGGGGATAAAAAAGAAGCTCATAATTTTTGACGGGTACGGGGAACCCCGCTGGCTGGTATCGGGGACTGTAGCCCCGTGTGAGCAAGGGCTGACCTATAAGTCTCAATTGGAAAACCAGGAATGCTGGGCAGCAGGCATGAACCAATGCGGGCACAGGCGGCCTCCCCAGGAAATCAGGCCTGAAGAAAAATAATGCATTATTTCCTTTGAAGCCTGCCCTGCTAAGAATAATGTCTTCTAGGTAATTGAGTTAACACACACTGGATGTTTAGTTTCCAAGCACAAGGTTGTCCTGATCGCCTAGCATCATGCTGTCTAACAGACCCTGATTTATAGAGACCAGTATGTTCTTGCAATTGTTACTTCCGAACAATATCTATTCTCCTTTGATCAACACTATGTAACATTGATTGATGAGCTGTACGTGCATGCCTGTACTCCCTTACCTGCTGAACTCAGTAAAAGTCTAAGGAAAAAGGAGATCAGGGCCCTTCTCCTCTGAGGGATTGGCCAGCCTTTTCTCCCCATGCAGATCATGTGTTGGTAGATTTATTTCATCCGCGGCTCCAGGTGACTTTGCAGGTCTAGGTCCCTCAACACAGGGGAAAGAGGAACTAACTGCCTACAGATAGGGGACAGACCAAGCTTCATAGTACCATATTAAATCTTTTTCTCTAAGAAGCTCTGATGTACTTTTCCACACTACCCAAACAGGATCAATCAAATCTCTTCTTTTAAGCTCATGGACTGGCCATATCCAAGGAGAGTCAGCAGGCAGTAGAGGCAGAATTGGAAAGACAGTGGAGGAGAAAATCTAATCATCAGAGCTGTCCCTGAACAACTTTCTAGTTCCAGAATCAAGCTTGAGGCCTCTTCTCCAGGTTTGCCATATTACTCCAGGTTTAATTTCTACAAGTATCCCTATAATAAAGTATTGTCAACTGATATCTCTTTTTTCCTTATGTGGTTAAAAGATCCAGCCCAGCTGAACTGTCCTAAGACACAGCAATCATAGTAATTCATAAGCTAACAGTGACTGGACCAAGGGGTGAGCCTGTGATACATGCTAAGCCCATCACAATGTTTCCCCGAGACTTTTCCATGTGGAATTATCATAGAGGTTGAAAAATACGAGTCTAGGAATGGAGGCATAGGTGAACATGTCTTGCCTCCTCACACAATCTCAGCAAAAATTACAACTAAATTACAAAACAACTATCACCCAGAATCATTAGAAAATCGAGCTGCATGGAAGACTGACAACCAAGGAATTAAAGTCACATTCATCAAGACGGGTAGGAGGGGTGGAGACATGGAGATGCTGAATGGACGGTTCCAAACCCACATTTATACAAAATGTTAAAGGGACTTATTTAAGAAAAAAATCAAAACTATGAACATTACAGTGGCAATAAATTCACAGCTGGCAACAACTGAACCTAAAAAACAAACTAAGAAAACAAGCAGACCAAGAACAAACTCATAAATGTGGAGATCATTTGGAACATTATCAGCTGGAGGGGGGAGGGGGAGAATGGGGGAAAAGATGCAGGCATTAAGAAGTATAAATCAGTAGTTACAAAATAGACAGGGGGATCTTAAAAACAGAATAGAAAATGGAGTAGCCAAAGAACTTATATGCATTACCCATGGACATGAACTAAGGGAGGGGGGATTGATTGCTGGACGGAATGGTGGGTACCAGGTGCAGGGGGGCTAAGGGGGAAAAATTGGGACAACTGTAAAAGCATAATCAATAAAATATATTTTCTAAAAAAGAATATGAGTCTAGAGCTCCCAGTAACGTTCAAGAAACTGGTTCTAGCCTTCAGGAAATAAAGTGGCCTGAGAGCGAAACAGAATATAACAAAAGAATCAGGGGTGAGAGATGACGAGAGGAGAGAAAGGCAGAGGCCCTGTTTACCAGCTTAGTCTCTGCCTTTACCATGAGCCAATCAATTTCTCTTTTTGCCCAAATAAGCTGGAGTTGATTTTTGAGATTTGAAGCCAAAAGAGACCTTGACAATGTGGTTCCTACTCCTTGAAACAAAAAAGGGCTAACACACCCCGGTGATTTCTACCTGCTATGGGAAGAAAGACTGAATCAGGCTTCATGACGAAGCTGGCATTTATTTAACCAACTCAACACCAATAGTCAGCTAACAAAAGGGGAAGAGAAGTCCCACTATTGTGTTAGAGAATGGCAATAGGCAAAATTGGAATGTATGTGGAAACAAATTTCAAAAGTCGTTAATTACCATGTGCTAAGGATTTTCAGCTTTAATCAGTAGGCAATGGAAAGCAAACCAAGCCTTTGAAATTTTGTGGAGGGTAAAACAGAGAGAATGTAAGGGCTCATTTCTAAAAGAAAGTGATTGGTTCTTGTCTTCTCAGCTGTATTAGTCTAGACTTTTGTTTGCAAGTTACAGGAGCCATACTCCAGTTAGTTTAGGGAAAAAAAGCGGGGGAGGTTGGCTGGTAGAATTCAAGAGTTGATTACCTCAATTGTGCAGAATTCAAGACACAGTAGATACAGCTATGTTGGGATGGGGAGGTGGCACTTTCCCTTGTTCATTTCAGTTTCTCCCTGCATGTGGACCTCATTCTCTCTCTTACTGCAGACACATTTTTTTACACATGGTGCAAAACAGGGCTCCCAGCAATACTTGAGTTTTATGTGATGTAATACCAGCCTTTAAGGAAAAGTTGATTCTCAAAAACCCCAGTCAAGGGCCCAATAAGTTTAGATAGGTGTGTATGTGTGTGTTTTGTTTTTTGGTTTTGGGGTTTTTTTTTGTTTTTTGTTTTTGTTTTTTTTTTTTTGCTACAAGAACAGATAAAGTCAAACCACCTTAAAAAAAAATCTCTAGTGTGTAGTGCACTCCATGTCACATAATCCGGTGCTCAATAAATATGTGGTGAATTAACGGACTGGGAAGGAAGAAAATAAGAAAGCAAAGGAATGTGTAAATTAGAGCTTCACTGTCCAATATGGTGGCCAGTAGCCACATGTGGCTACTGAGCACTTGAAATGTGATCAATATGAGATATACGCATTGTACAATAAAGACTTAGTAGCACAAAAAGAATGCAAAACATCTCGTATCTCCCATGCTCTAAGTAAGTGTTCACTAACCAGCAGTTATTAGAGCCAAATAGGTTTTATTTGGAATCTACAGGTATAAAGTAGAAACTTTTATGAGTCACCAACATTTAAAATTCAGATTTCACAAAATTCTTGTTTTTCTTGTTATATTGGAAGACTTTTTTTTCATCCCACTCGTGCAATTATTTTATCCTTTTGTGCTATTTGTTTTTATAAGCTACCTTGTATTCTAACAGGTGAAGAATGAATTACTAAATATACAGCTATATATTCAGGCTCTCTGGCTGTGGTGACAAGGAGAGACAGAACTGACTAAGCACCATCCTCCGTCAGAGAGGAACTTAATGGGGAAACATGAAAGGACAGGGGGGCAGTATTTCATTGCACAGTTAAATGTGTATACAATGGCTTCAGTGATCACCTATTACTTACATTCTTATTTAAAAGTGGCTACATATAAACTTTCCTTTTTCCTTTACAACATAAGATAGTGACCAGACTCTGAAGTCACATTGCGTATGTTCAAATCCTAGCAAACTGTGTGACCTTGAGTAAATTCCTTAACCTATGATTAACTTTCCTAACTGTAAAATGAATATAAAAATATTACCTACCTCACAGGGTTATCATGAAGGTTAATATAAATAATAATAATAGTATCACCTATCTTCTACTAAAATTATAATTATTACAACTCTCCTCTTCCTATGACTATTTTTATTATTACCTACAGCCTAGCAGAGAAAGTGCTGAAAGTTAATTCTGACTTAAGAGAGCCAGACCTAAGTACACAGCTGAGATCGGATGGGGCAAAGGAGGGAGAAAAACACTGAAGGTTTAGTTCCAAGGTGGAAGTAAGAAGCTCTGAATTCTGGAGTGGTGCAGTGGAATTCCTACAAAAGGTGTTGGAATTCAGCTCTGGTAAACCTCTTAATACTTAAAGAGCAGAGTTGTTGTTTTCCTGAGATTAAAAGAAAAAAAAACTCCAATTAGCAAAAAATTAAAATTAAAAAATTAACAAGGTGGATTTGGGGAACACTGTATTTGGTTTTCAGGAGAATGAAACAAATAAAAAAAAATTCCCAGTGTCTTTTTCGGATTTATTTTAAAAAATAACCTCCAGGAGTTTCTTGGGGTAAGAATGGATTCGGTTCACCTATGCCCTCTAGGAAGTCAAGCGATAAGTTTATGATTTTCCATGGGTTAGTGTAAATGCTATTGGGGCGCAGTGTAAAGCAGTCTCAACACCACACTATGACTTTAGAAATCTCAGGTCAACTTTGTCATCTCAAGGCCGAAGACTGAACCTTATAAGTGAGCCATTGTCCAGGCTCCTCATTTTACAGATAGATGAAAATAAAGCCCGTGGGGATTAAATAATTTGTCCAAATTCCACAGAAAAAATTTTATGGCTGAGCAAGTTATTTCAGGCAGGGGTGTCCAAGCTTTTGGACTCTCTGGGCCACACTAGCAGAACAGGAGTTGTCTTGGGCTACAGATTAAGTTCATTGTGACATGTAATCACAAAAAACCTCAATGTTTTAAGTAAATTTATGGTTTTGTGTTGGGTCGTATTCAATAGCCAACCTGGGCTGCATTCGGCCTGTCAGCGGGGGCTGGACACCCCTTAGAGAGTAATGATGTCTTAACTATAGCCAGTGAGTATTTGCTCCTATTGGCCATTAAGCTGTTAAAAAAAAAAAAAAAAAAAGGAAAAGAAAGGAAAGGGGAAGGGGAAGGGAGGGAGGGAGGAAGGAAGGAAGGAACGAACGAACGAACGAAGGAAAAGAAGAAAGGAAAAGAAAATGTTAAAGTGGGGGAGTGGGGACAAGGACCGAGGGAAGTAGCGGAAGCCCTCAGATGGAACGCGGCAAATTTCCTTTGGGGCGTGTGCGGAGAGGAGTTGGCGCGTGGGAATCCGGAGGTCGGAGCATGTGGCATGTTTAGCCTGTCAGAACTGCCCCGTTATCACGCACACTCACGTAGACACTAATATCCTTTCTCCGTGCCCAACTACAGCCAGAGGAGGAAATCAAACGCGAGGCGCATATCTAGTCGCGCGGATCCTACCTTCTCGCGCGCAGCCTCGGCAGCCGTGAAGCCCCACAGCCCAAACCTGGAGGACCAGAGAAGTTTGCGGGTTCAGGCGCTGGGCCTGGGTGGTCCGAGGTGGAAGATGAGTCCGGCTGCACGCGGGGATTGGGAGAGGGAGACCCGCAGTCGCCGCGGCTCCTCTTACCCGCTCGTGGCCTTCTCACGCTGATCATCTGAAAAGCACTCAGCGAAGGCCAGCTTAGCCGGTGTTTCGGGCGGGCTTCGGTACAAAGAGCTGTAGACGCCGCGTCGCCATGGAGACAATACCTCCAGCTGCAGGAGTCCCGGCAGCCGCGGAGGGAAGCGGCGGAAGGGGCGGGACTGAGGTGGAGCGAGCTCAGGAAACTGAGGAGGGGCGTGGAGGGGGCGGGCCGCGCACGGGGAGCGGCGGGGGGCGCGAGAAAGAGGGAGTGGGGCGGGGCTGGCCTGGGAAGGGCTTGAGAGATGAGCCTGAGGGGGCGGGGCGGGGAGAGCACGGGGCGGAGCTGTAGGGCTGGGCGAAGGTCGGGTGGGGGCGGAGCAAGCTCGGGAAGTCTCAGCAGGTACTGGGCGCGAGACCTGGATCCGAGAAATCCACGCAGTTCTGGAGGTCCAGCTGCGTCGCGAATTAGGTGCATTTGCCCTCGGACGCAGGTCCGCACGCACACCAGTTACTTTGAGAAGAGCAGGAGGGAGGGGGATTGAAGTATCGTTGTCCATACCTGATCCAGTTTTTGGCTCGAAGAAGGAAAAGGGCGGGGTGGCCTCGTTAGTGTTTCAAACTTGTGAGTAAAAGAAGCCTTGAATTGGGAGAGACGGTTGTTCCTGGATATGAATGAACAAATGTCCCCTGCAGGACTTGGTCCCTCAACCTGAGGTCGCCCAAGAAGATTATAGGTTTCCTGGGAAATCTCCGGATGCCAGTTTTCTCAGAAATCTGATTCAAGTGATTAGAACAAGGGACCTCTGCCACCAACTCGGGCCAAGCCTCGGGTGAGATCGACATTGGCCAATGGAAGCCTTTACTGCATAAATAACTGTTTTGGTCACAAAAGGGGGTGGGGAAGAATATCAGAAAATTCTAACTGTCCGTCAAGCTTGACGTCTAGGAAGGAATTGGTTGATTTCTCCACATGGTATCGGGGAAGTCCCTAGGATCTATTTGTTGCTAGGCAACGTATTTTGAAGGAAGTGGGTTTGTTGGACTCAAATCAGGATTCGATTTCACTGAGTAGCCCTGATATGAGTAATAATTACTATTTAACCTTTGGGCTTAGGTATCCTCTGGGAATATGTACCTTGGGAGAGGGCTGTGAGCTTCAAATGGCATAAAATGTACAAAGCTCTGACAATGTAGAAGATGCTTAATAAGTGGCAATTTTTAATTTATTAATAGTATTATTAAAATAGAGTCAGTTGGGCCATTTCAGGGACCAAAAGTATGCATTCTTGTTATTTAAAATTTTAAAATTTTTATAATTTTTAATTGTAGAGAGAAACGAAGGTGGGATGGGGTGGGGGCGGGTGAGAGAGAAAGAAAAATCAATTTGTTGTTCCACTTATTTATGCATTCATTGGTTGACTTGTGTGTGCCCTGACTGGGGATTAAATCCTCAACCCAGGAGATTCCGGCGGACACTCTAACCAACGGAGCTGTCCTGCTAAGTCTCAGTTATTTTTAAATTTTCTTACTCATATGCCCACATTCACTCTAAATCTCCTTGGAAACCTGGATGGAAGGAAGGAGGCAAAGAAATAAAGTCAGAATAGAAGTTTTTTAAAGAACCCAGTGAAGTCATTGACAAATACATCTCTAGTTTTGTAAGGACATAGCAAACCACTGCCTCCTTCCTCTATCATGGGAACAAACTTTCATAGCAGATATCTGAAGTTTGCAGACTTTTTGTTCAAATAAGGCAAAGGGAAATTCATTATATTTCTTGACCAATATTTTTGAAAGCATTAGTTTTGATGAATTTGCTTTGTACTGACGAATGGGTAATGTCTGATTGGCTATTCCCATTGTCCTATTCCAAGGAATGTAAGAAAACCCCAGCTTTAACTGATGAAGCTTCCTTTTCTACCGCTCTTCCTCCCAAGAGAAGATCAAGTCCATTTGTAAAATGCAGCGTTTTTTATGGTTCCTGAAAGTAAGGGCAAAAATGATTTAATGACCTTCAAGCATAAAAATATTTTCTCCACATGGAGGGTGGTTAGATCTGGCTTCCACTTTGGGCCTCACATTCTTCAAGTGCAAAGTGCAGATAACATTCAATACCTACCCCAATAGCTCAAAACATGTAATGAGATAAAATAAGCCCCTGATACAGACCCTAGCACACGACAATTGATCAATAACTTAGCTATTCTTACTATTTCTACTGTGTTATGTATATGAATAAAAGGGAGCTGTAAGGATTAAAGATCATTTAGGTAAAGTGCTCGTCCCAGTGCCTATTTGAATGCATGATGGTTATTTTATTTCTCAGGAATGAAAAAACACAGTTCATCTTTGTATAACTTCATAAATAATTCTCCTATCTGTAACATTTGTACAGAAGTTATCATTATAATACCCAAAAGTAGAATACAATTTAGCTCTGGCTCGTGCATTCAGGCCACTGAATAAATTACCAAAAGTATGTATCTAGTGAGGGTTTGTCCCAATAAAATGCTAGGGAAAAGCCAAACACTCTTATACAAATATTGAATTACTCCATAAAAGTACCTTTTTATTAAACTCCACAGTTTTTAATGGATAAATTTTCATTACATATCTGATAGTTGGCAGAGCATCATAAAAATGTTTAAATAACATTTAATGTTCTGATTATAAAAGCAATACGTATTCATGGTAGACAATTTGCAACACGCAGAGAAACACAAAGAAATAAAAACCATCTCAATCAATAATTTTACCCTTTTTTATCTGCATATACTTGTAACATTCATACTAGAGAGTATATACAATGTTATCATCCCTTTTTTCTTAACATTCCCTCTAATGTCTTAACATTTCCCCAATGTGTTTTAAAAGTCATCAAAACATTTTAATGGTCATGTATGATACATATAAACCACAATTTACCCACAATTATTCAACCAGCCACCAATTTGGAAAGTTCCAAGTTTTCTCCTGTAATTCATTCTTTCAAGAATATTTATTGAGTTGTTACTACATAGTAGGTGCTATGCTAGGCATAAGACTTAAGTGGTGAACAGTAACTGTAAATATAAGGTTTTGATGAACATCATTGTAAATAAATTTTTGATGGCATCTTTCATTCTTAGACTGAATTCCTAGGACCCTTGAAGGAAACAACTTCAAAAAAGGATTTTTTTTCTGGTTCAAAGTCAAACATAAATAAAATTCTGAACTGTAAAATATTAACTTTTGGAAAATTGCCAACAGACTTAATATTTATTTTGTGCAAAGTGTGAACTTACCCAGAAGATGCTTTCTCCTTTAGTGACTGTGAAACATCAAGGGTGGTTGAAGTGTATTGACTTTGGCTTTTATCTCTAATTCTTTCCAGGATTTGCAGGTTTTCTCAATAGTGTGAGATTGTTTGAAGTCTATGCAAATTGCCCTACTTCCTCCTCTCAGAGTTAAAATGTCAACTATTTTATTTCTAGCTTTCCTCTTGTAAACATATGGCTTTTCTACATTCCTTTCATTTACCTTCCTGTGTGAAACATTTTGTATCTTCACACTTTTTAACTTTCAAACCCAAGTTATAATATACACATTCCTATATATTACTGATATACCCTGTAGTTAACTTTGGTCAAGAAATACTGTTTAAATTAATCAGTATATTTAGGGGATTTTATAATAAAGATTATTTATTAAAAGTAATAACTACTCCCAACACACACCCTCCCTACTATTGTTTGACAATTAAATGTTTATATATAAGGTTATATATATATATATGAAATTGCCACTTGTGGATTAAAAATAGTCAAACGACAACTTCATGTGGTTCTATGTAATCATTAACTAGTTTATGATTTTTCAACTTTCTCCAAATATTGAACTTCCTGATTATTATAGTAACAATTCTTTTATTATTACACAAGGTTGTGTGTTTGCTTTGACTTTCATAAATTCTGGAATTTGGTCTGAAGAGTGCCATAAAATGTTTATTTATTATTTCAGAGACAGTAGAGGGAGCCTGGAGCCAAAACATTGTTATTTTAGGCTTCGCATAAATGATGATTGTCTTTCAATCCTTTATGTGCGGATGAATTTAAATATTATTAAGAGTATATATATATATAAAAGAGTATATATATAAAAAAGAGTGTATATATATACATATATATATATGAAATAGCAGTCTTTAAAAAAAAAAGTCAGTTGTACCGTTAATGAGATAGAAATTGAAAGGTTGGCTGCCAGTTCAGGCCAGACCCCATCAGGGTTCATGCTGGGACAGACCTGACTCTGATTGTCCTCCCAGTAAAGCTGGAGACAGCACACCGCCACAGTGACATATTTGTGCTCCACAATTTTCCTCTTTCAACCCATAATGTAGGTCACCCATTTCCATGGGCATTACATCATGATTATTTTATCAGAACTTCAAAAATGTTACCATCTCCAATTATCTTATTAAAGTGTCTGTGGTTTAGCTGACTGCTTCCTCCAGACATGTAAGGAGATATTTTGATCCTGTCTTGAACTCACATCCTTCCAGGAAGGAATAAATTACCATTCCTTTCACAGAGCAGGGATTTTTCTTGGCCTTAATTAAAGATGTTGTTTTTCTGCTGACCTCTCCTCAACCATCTTTATCCTCATATTTTGTTAATTGCTCTGGTCCTGGTGTTATAAAGAGGTTCCCAAGGTAATTGGTAGTCTCCATTATTCACTGTGTAGGGAGGGCCCAAAGTCCCGGAGGTAACATGAACCCTGAATCTAGAGGTAAGATGGAGAACCTCTCTATTTAAAACCTAACAGTCCACAGAACATAGGTAGAATCCATTTGCTGCAGCAGGGTTTCCCAAACTGGTGTTAAGGGGAAATTCTTCTGGTGTGTTAATAACACACAGAGAAAAAAAGCATCCCTGGGAGGAAATGAGTATGTAAACTTTTTAACGGAGTTTTGTTGTTGTTTAACTGGGAACTCTCAGAGGCTTTAATATGCTAATGTACTCTGTCAGTCTCTCCGAGGGAGATTTTTAATGTATAGCCTTTCTCAAA